GCTAGTTACTGGTACCCGGTTCCTGCCCGAGGGTGACATCTGAGTTGTGGTCATGTCTTCAACTTCATTTGCGTCACCCTCATTTTCGTCCTCACCATCGGACATTTTAAAATGATCATGTCCGGAGCGTAAGTTGCAAGACTGACTACCAACTGGATTGTATCCTATCGGCTATCTCCTCGTTCATCACCTGTCTCAGATCAGATAAATGTGTCAATAAAGCTCTGCGAGGGAGTCATTTGTAACGAGCTTTTAGAACTCTAATTGTAAGATAGATTGTTATAACCAACTACACGAATTCGAGAAGAACTGGTGCAGCCTCTTGTGCTTGTACCTCAGTACACTCGATATTTGTGCGAAGAACAAAATAAAGGCCGGTGCAACTTTGTTTGTGTTAAGATTGCTCGGGTAACTTCTGCTGTGGGAGTGCAAATCTGCGACAAGGAGGCTTCGGATCAGCTTTTTTAGTATAAATTTACGGAAGGCACTATGATTATCACACGCCAAAATACACTAGGCAGATGATAGCCCCAGTGTCATCTGCTTTTGCCAATGCGACTTACATTGTATGCTTAAACAGTTCTCCTTCGATCATCGAATGAACATGACTAGCCATCAAATTGAGGTTCATTTTTCCCCCCACTAATAGGCGTAATAACGAGTGCTTGTATGTTTTTGGCACGCGCTTGTCAAGAAGAAAAGCATACAACAATTCTCACTCGCAAGTTAATAATATCCCGGTGATCACGAAAGAATCTGCTGCACATATGCGAGTACAAAAAAGAGTTCATTCGAAATCGTCGCGCCAATCGGTTTGTTGCAAGCATTTGTATTTACTTGTATGAAAATAGGAAACTTGCTTCTTCTTTGATAAAAATTATAACAAGTATCTAGCTCGATCTCTTACCATACAACAGATGGGTTTAGATATCTGCACTGACTCGTTACAGGTTATCAATTGATCTGTGGGGGGTTTTCATGATTTGTTTTATTATACTATCACAAGTCGCAACCGCCTCCAGCTTTGCCTTTGTGCAAGCGAGGTAATTAACGAATAAGGACTTTAATGATTTTTTTAATTAGGGTTTTAGATGTAGTTTCTACTGAGTCATGAGCCGGTGTGTGAACAGTGAATTCACCACAGTTGGTGTGCTGTCTAATTATGTATATGTATAACCAACAAGTCGGCCATATTATATGCGATGCTGACAAATTTCTAGTCCATTACTTGTGTAATTTTGTCATATCGGTAAACAATTGTTCGCGATTATTTACAATATTACGATTTCGCACTTCCTTTCCCAGTGACTCGTTGATAACAATACATACGCGTGCACGCTTGTGAATGCTTTCAACACTATGACATACTTCAAGAAATCTCTTTCCAGCCGTCATTTCTCTTCAGAACTCATCTAGTTCAAATATCTTAGAGTAATTAATGTGTAAATTAGCTCTGGACATGTCGTAGACTACAAATACATCATCCACTATTATTGGTCTTAGAGATATAGCCGGAGATGCTCCGGATCACCACAGAGCAGTCACTTTCACTGTTGGAAAGCGTGACTATGGAAACGAACAATGTAAATACTGCATTCCTATCGACCAGATCACAACCGCAACTTGTGCAGCGTTCATCGTCCCTATTCCCTTAAAAACACGCAAATAGGTTTCGATCTAATCTTTACGTATCAAGTAGTTAACATCTACTTTCTGTGTGACTAACATATCTGCCTTGTTAGAGCGTGCCTTAGAAAAGGGTGCCGTTGTGTACTGCAACTGTTCGACGACTAAACATAGCCAGGTCGCACAAAAAATCACGCCAGACAAGTATATTAATAGTGTTGACTATCCAGATTAATAGTAATTAAAGTATATTTTCCGTGGAAAAGACTTTTGACAAGCTGGGGTTTGCTAAAAGGGCTGAGACCCCGGATTATGTCATACTCCAACTGCGCGTTTGACTTGTTCTGTTTGTGAGGCTATGATTTTATAACAGTATTTTCTCTCCACTCTAAATATTAAAAAATCTGACGTGCAAAAGTTCTCCAGGTGATAATGTACTGAAATCTGTGTATGTTACCACTGAAGTGAAATATGGTTAGGGCAAATGGAGCAGGGGAGAGAGTGAGTGGGGGGGCGGGGAGGGGTTAGATAATATTGAAATCTTTCGCCCGAGTAAATACCATTCAACAGATGTCATTTATAAGCCACAAGTGCAGTGGGCTTTAAAACACGTAGCCCGCTATAGCACTTTTCGTATGTGAAATGCTTAGATGAGTTGAAAAGCTTACGAGTTCTTGACGGAAGCACATCCTCATCCTTGCAGGATCTAAAACCACCACTGATACCCGATAGATTATATTGGAGTTGAGTATGACAGCTAGCTTACCTTGCATTCAAACACGCGATCAGATTTTTCTGAATGTTTTATTGTAAATTAAAGCCAATTTCTCAGTTAATGTGTATCAAAAACCAAAACCCACTGACAGAATTCACATAGGCTAACTATGGTATAGTATTTATACACTTCAAGTCGAGAGATGAGGAGTTTATCATCCGACCCATTAGCAGCTGCTATAGTAGATCCACTCTATTCGAGACAAATAAAATAAAAGTGTCTAAATCCATAATCCTATTTGTACTTCTGGGTTTATTATCAGCAGCATTCCCTTTTGTTCACATTCGTTTGTTTTCAAAAGAGCAATTAGCACCAAAACTATAATCTAAGAGAAACACTGGCCTGAAATATATACTTGTTAGATTACTTCTAGGGTATTATGTATCGGATGGCAATCAAACTTATTTAAAGGGCAAATTTGTTTTGCTTCCGCAGGACTATGGTGGCGAACGTTCGGGTGTGAAAACACGCGTACTTGCTATTCTTCCAAAGTCGAAATATATCAGTTTTAAAGTACCCGATATGATATGTACACGTGTAAAACTGGTTTTGTGTGCAATATCAAGCCTCTGAATGTACACGTCTTTCAAGAGTATTATATCCATATACACATGTTATAGATCATGGTATCTTAATTTCAATCATAGCGATACATATCCATCTAATCCAACAATCATAACGCATCGATTTCCACTTTCATTATTATTCAAACCGCCATTATGCGTATTACTTTCTTTGCAACAGTTATTCCTGCACAAATTGACGACTCCAAAATCTTTATCGTATCAAAGGTTTCGATTTATTGTATCTACTTAGGAAGCAGATGCTTGCCAGAACGGAACCACCTTCATTATAGACAAGTACTCTAAACCCTAAACCCTAAACTCTAAAACCGAACCTCGACCTTCGAAACCCTAGAACCCTAAAACCCCCGGAGCATGTCAATTCATGTATTCATTACAAATTGTAATCAAAGTTACAAGATTACACGAAAGTATCAAATGATGCGTAATTTTTATCTCTTGCAAATGAGAGTATTCAGCGCAAATGGGGGTAAAAACCTCGAAGTAGGTTGCAATTGTTATTAGCACGTAGCGACATTTTACATGTCACAAAACCCAAGAAAACCCGTTTCCTCGGAAGCCTACTTAAAGTAAAAAGAAGGTAGGCCCTCAAATTCTCTTTCTGTAGTAATTCAATCATTTCTCTATATGTGAAATATCAGTAATAGTTTTGGCTCTATTGATGGAAAAGTAGTATACAAAATCTCGATGTTACAATTGGCCTCAGGTTCATGTGGCCAATTGCTTCGATATCTTGTACGTGTCGTTTAGGATATGGCATGACAACTAATTAGAGAAAAGTATTCAACACATTTCTTCGATCTGTATTGTTTCCAGATTACGACCTGACTTGCACGATTGTCTACTTATCAAAAACATTTCATTCCCGAGAACTTATCAAGTTTTTTAGTTGAGACTCAGAACAACGACAAAATGTTACTGGGCACCTATTTTGTAGGACTTCGATCTAACCCCTTTGAACTTGCTTCCTATCGTGATAATTGCGTGTAGTAAGAAAGATCCGAAATTATTTGTGTAATATTTACGAGCTGCTTGTTGTAGAATTATACATTCACAATAGTGACTCCCGTCGCCAAACTAGTTTACTTTCATTTTCCACTGTCGAATCACAGAATAGACTCCATGGAGCGGTTTGTATGGTACAGGTATCGCATGTTGATGCGAGTTGAAATATACACCTTGAAGCATGCTTTCTGTTGCTTAGTCTTTCATCTATACATCGCTTCTGGTTTAGCACAAAAACGAAGTATGGGAATACGTTGAAGCAAAAAAAATCCGATATCCACTTTGGATTGTTTGTTGACGCCAATTTGTTTATTATATGTCGCGTATAGTCTGTTACCGCCGGGCAGGCTAAAACCCTTCCTACTGATAAAGCTATTTTGAAGCTATATACTCGTCATCTGATGACCTGCGTGCCTTTTCAATTTAAATCCTGCGTGGGAAGCTAAGTCGGAACTTTCAACGTCCTGGAGAAATATCACGTGTAATCTTCGGTAATACAGCATTGTGGATTATATGGATTTTGTACAACAAATTGGTACGGGAACAGCAACATTTGTGAGTGTAACAAAGCTTGAATAACAGTGTTGAGACGTGCGATTGGCATGTGTAGCTTGCATGGCGACTGCCATCTTGTGACCATGAATACTTGTAAGAAAAAAATGTCAAATGTGCTACAGCTGTATCGGTGTAATTTTAAATCTTAGTGGCGGTGACCTCTGCTATGATGTATTTAAAATGACCACGATGGTGTTAAAAGTCCCCGCTCCTGACAGAATGTGCTGGCTATCAATATGACTTGTGATGCATGTATTTAATTGCAATCAAATATCCGCCTCTTCAAGTGAAATTAAACGGAAAGCTAGCGGTGAATCAGATCCCACACCTAGATATCGATTATATTGAAATTCTTTTAAGATGAAAGTAGCAAGGTACTCTAGAAGGTAAACTATCCATTTGTACTCGCATTAAAAAGGAAGCAGAAATTAGACAATTAGACCACTAAAATATGATGTGAATGGTCAATCCATTTAATATATTCCTAAATTACATACGCGCACACTTCGAGAGTATGTTCATACCTGTATATATATAAATCCCTTAATCAATCTACTAATTTTATGTAGTAGCGGTAACACGTACATCCAAACATGCTCCAATATCAATCCTATGATTGAAGAGCTATTTTATAGAGCAGGCGGCGAACGCGTATCCTCACCACTACACTATCACACAGTCCATTCAAGACATTTTTCTGCTAACTGCACGATTCAGAGATATGATGATATGCCTTCTCCTCCACTTCTTTCTGAGCCTGTGCCTTGTCTATACTGCTCATGAGCAATCGCAACGCCAAGTATTTCTTCCTCAACTGCTCGAAGTGTTCAGCACTCTCCACCGTGGTATGCCCGTCCGACTTGTTGTGCAAGGTGCTCATCTGCACACAATCCTCGGATACATCAGGGCTATCCTCGTTCACCTCATCTTTTTGCGACAGGGCCACCAGGTCATGTGTGGGTGGTTGAAGTGAGTCTAAAGATGCCTTGGTACCTGGCGCTGATACAATCTTATCCTCCAGCTGAGTGCCGGCTGAAATGCCCATCTTGTACATGTCCTGTGTAAGTCCATCCACATGCAGGTCAGTGGTTTCTTCCAAAGTATCACCCTCACCACTCCCATCTGACACTCCGAACGCACTGTCGGTCGCACGTGCTCTGCTCTCTTCGACACTCGCTGCATGTTTTCGGTCTGCATCATTTCGGTCTGCATCATTTCGGTGATGAACCGTGATGTCGCTACCGTACACAGGCTCTTCATTATCACTCGACTTTGCAACTCTGTCCTCTGTTCCTTGCACAGACATGGCGGATTGCTGACTGATGCCCTCCTCAACCACCTCCGCTTCCTTAATTGGCGACTCGTTGTAAGATAATTCCGCCAAGCGTTCCGTGACCTCGTCTACTGCCTGTTCGTCCTCCGAATGTGTGTGATTTTGTACACTCGAATCTGGAGTTTCAGGACTAATATCATCTACTGCTTTTCGAGGTGATTTCCCTACGTCATATTGCTGATCGATGGCATCGTCCTCGGTATCAGAGGTGACTTCGCTGCCGTTCGTGAGCTCGCTCTGCAGTTGCTTGACATCGTTTGCACCCACGTGACAATGCATTTTTTCGCTTAACACGCGTTTGTACACATCGTCGACACCGTAATCTGCACCGCTGGATGACTCCTCCTCTGAATCGACAGGCTCTTGCTGAAGTGTGCTGTCAAACGAGACAGTATTGCTACCGGTTGCCTCTGATGTCTTGAAGCTAGACTTGAGCTGCTCGCTCTCGTCCGCACTGGATTCTGCCGATGCACTGTATCCCGCCTCTGCCGCCTCATCAGGTTCACTACCAACAGCCTCTAAGGCTCCCAGCGGTTCTACATCAGCTTCGGATGGTGACTGCACATCGAATAATGCCTCCCATGGCATACCTTGGTGCTCTTCTGCTTGTGCCTTGGATTCAGATTGGCCCTCCATCAGAGGTGGAGATGATGAAAAACCGGAGGAGGTGTACTTCCTGGAACCAGAGCTGAACATCTTCTTGAGTGTGCCACTCACTCTCGCACCAAGACCACTTACACTCGTGCCAATACCCGACACACTTGATCTCTTGGAAGCGGCCGGTGCACCATCCGGTATTTGCTGTGAGTCCTTCATATAGTCGTTTATACCCGTACCTTCATCACTATGTAGTTCAACACCAGATAGCATTTTGAACTCCGACCTATCATAATCGACTCCTGTATGCTCCTTCTTCGCTCGGTCAGACATATTCGATTCAGTCTCCTTGTCTGTGCCCTTGCTGCTACTCTTACGAAGAGCGAACCCAGTCTTCTTCTTTGATTTCTTGTCCATTGTGCTCGTCTCCACTGAGGTCCTCTCCGCTCTATCACCTGCCCCATCATACGAGTCTTCGATTGTGAGATCGTATTCATCCGAAGCGTCATACTTGCCGTTGTCAACAACATCAGCGACACCGCCGAGCGCACCACTTTCCACGCCGCCACTAAAGCCAGTATCGGGTATTGAAAATCGCCTTCTCCGTGAGGGTGCAGCCGCGCGATCTTGCTTTCCGCCTCTGCCTGCAGATGCACCAGACCCTATGTCGCCAAGTGCATTGTTATTGTCCTTGTGCTCATTCTTATCGTGCTTCGGCAGAACTTGTGCAAGCGGAGTGCTATCGTGTATGGGCATTGACTGGAATACCATAGGCGCAGACGGCTCGTGCACCAATGAGCGAGTTGGCATCGATGTCATCGCTAGATTGTGCACCGCCGCTACCGGTCCTTCTTCGGACATGGCAGGTTCGGAAGGCACCTGGCCTGGTTCTCGTGACTGTACCAAGGCCTGTTTTGTCTTTTCAGCCACATCTGATGCAAATCCTTCATCTGCCAACGACAAGTGTTGTGCTCTTTCCTCAGTGTATAACGGTACAAATGCAGGTTGAGTGGCAGTCGAAGGCGGAGGAGGAGCACCACCTGGTGGTGGCATACCTGCCCCATAGCTGGTTAGTCCGGCCACAGCCATACCCATCTCCAAGCCCACACGACGGCCTCCGATGCTTTCCTGAGCATGCGTATGACCCGACACCGGTGCGTACATCGGCTGTACGTGCCCTGGGGGCGATGCTGTGCGGGGTGCTGTAGGGGGTACAGAAGAATGCTGTAACCGCATCCCGGCGGTCAAAGGCACAGCCAGTGGGGCCGGCATTAGCGCCTTCTTATGAGTAGCGAACGTCTGTGTATGTTGCGACGGGGGCAAATGCATATTCGGCTGCATAGACCCTATCGGCTTCTCATTAGCAATCATGTCGGACGGAACTAAATCGCCCGGCAGAGACAGTTCATGCAACTCGGCGGGTAACAGACCAGCCCCGGCAGTAGCAACGCCGAGTGGCGGCAGCTGGACGGCCATGGGCGGTGGTGGGGGGGGCGCATAACCAAGCATAGGCCCCAACGGTTGCGCCATGCTGGGCTGCGCTTGCAGTTGCTGCTGTTGCAGTTGTTGCTGTGCTATGGTCTGTTGCAGTTGCTGGGTCAACTGCTGCAGTTGCAGCTGTTGTTGCTGCAGCTGTGCGTCCTGTTGTGCCTGGCGCAAGAGCTGTTGCTCCTGTTGCTGGCGCTGCAGCTCCTGCTGCTCAATGTGCAGTTGGTGTGCGCGTACCTTGCTGGCTGCAATCTGCTCAAACTGGGACAGCTTGAGCTTGAGCTCTGCTATTGCCTGTTGCTGCTCAACCACCTGCTGCTCCATCTCCGCTGCCCCCTCGTGACTGTTGCCATTGGCTGAGGGGGTGGTGTGTGCGGTACCGTCAGAATGCACAGGCGTCTCTGAGTGGCCCTCGTACGGAGTGTCTGGCGCATCGCTTGCAAGGTCACTCAGAGCATTTGAGAGCGCTCCTGCCAATGTCTCGCGCGAGTAGGGAGTGTCGGCTATGTGTGTTGTAGCCTGTGGATCGATAACTTCATGCATATCCTGCGGGTCCTCGAGGTGTTCGTAGTAAACCTCTTCTGGATCGTACCTGCCACTGTCCTTACCTGCAGCGCCAACTTGTGAATGCGTGCCATCCGCGCCCACGGCATGCGCGGTTGCATCTTTTGCATCGGCATTAGTGGGTGTCCCCTTGTCTGAGTCGACCGTGTCATTCCTCTGTGGTGTTTTCTCATCGTCTCTGTCAGGCACCTCTGGCGATGTATGCTTGTGTAACGCCTCCTTGGCCTCCTGCTCCTCTGATGACTGCACCGCTGTTTTCTCGTGTGCATTCGGGTGCTGCTGCAGTGGGCCTGGTGTTGGTGTAGCTGCGCACCTGTCAGTTGACTCCAAGGTGTCGGGTGCAGCTGTGGCTGTTGCCGTATCTGACAGTACAGGTGACTCAGCACCAGAAGCCGGTGCATGTGGCTTCACCTGCGGCAAGCTGAGACGCTCGCCCAACTTATTCCTACGGTCCTGCATGGCGGCACGACCGTTGCCTCTCTCAAGCTGTCTGCGCTCGACCACTTCATAATCACTTGAGCTGCCGTGTTTGCGATTGTTTCGGCCATCGTCGCTAGCGTCTCCTGTGCCATGCATATCCTCATCATCAGCATCTGAGCCGCGCACGTACTCATTCAATGCGCCTTGGTTTGTAACGATACCACTGTCACGTCCATTCCCGCTTTCTCCACTGCCACCCGTATCCTTATCAGCCTTCCGACTAATCTTGACCTCGCTGGTGGCATGACCAAGGTCCTTTATCTTGATGGTGACCGCTGTTGCCGCCTTCGCTCTGAGGGCGATGCCATCTGCAGCGGCAGTTGAGTCCACGTCCATGTCACTGTCCGTCTCTGTCTCTGCGTCAGGGTCGGTGTTGTGCTCATAAACACCCGCCCCATCACGGTTGTCAACTACCACCCCATTATCGCCCGCATTGTCTCGCCGGATATCAATCGATAGATTAGAATTAGTCACAATGCCTCGGTTGGACAGTGTGTGTGGTGATGACGGGTATCCGGGAGGCGCATTCGGGTCGCTCGATATCCGCTCGGCGTGGCCATAGTTGTTCTGAGGCTTGTGCTCTTCGCGGAACGTGGAGTGCGATCCCTTGGGCGTCTGGATGCCGTCGTGGTCTTCCGTGTATGGGATGATGCGCGTGAGTTCCGCGTGGCGTGGGACCAGCAACACTTCAGCCGTCACGGCCCCTGTGTCGAGTCCACGTGTCTGCACCACACGCGCCTCATGATATCCACTCAGCGGCGCACACTCGCCCTCGCTGCGGCACTGACTCTCCATGCGCGTCCTGTCTATGCCGGGTGTGCCGTTGTGTTGGTCGGAGTTGTTGGTACTTTTGCTTGCATTGAATGATGTTGATGATGCTGCATCGTCCGTTGGCAGAGCACGTGCCTGGGTATCACCCGGCGACTCTTGGGTTCCCGTCTGCTGCGCTCCACTTACTGTCGCCAGAGAATCGCGACCTGCGCCGCTCATATAGTTATTTAGCAACTGCTGCTGCTGCGTGAGTTGTTGCTGGTGGTGGTATATCTGGTTCTGTTGCGGCGATTGATTCGTGCCACCCGTCTGGTTACTGAAGCCCAGGGTGTTCAACATAGGCCCATTGTACAGGTCAGTCTGTTGCTGCTGCAACTGGTTCTGTAGTTGAACTTGCTGTCGTTTGAGGTGATTCTGCAGATGTTGTTGTCGCTGCTGCTGCTCCTCCTGCCGCCGTTGGAGTGCTTGTTGCTGCTGTAGGGCCTGCTGTTGTTGTTGCAGGGCTTGTTGTTGCTGTAATACATTCTGTTGATGTTGATGTTGCTGCTGCTGCTGCAGTGCAAATTGCTGCTGAAGCGCTGCTTGTTGGTGGAACATATTCCGTTGGTGTTCCTGTGCTTGCACTGACATCACACCAGCGGCTGCATTCTCAAAACTGTGAACTGGCGAAAATTTGGAAGGTTGGTTTGTGCCGCTATGAATGGTAGAGTGGGATGGCATGGATATCACAGATGGAATGCTATTGATCGTGGGCACCGCGGGCATAGTCGGTAAGCTGTTGGTTGTTAACGTAGCCTCTAGCTCGGCAAACGCCTGATTCCCCACATGACCGTCGAACGTCACACGCGTCTGCGGGTGAGGTGGTGGATGGTGTGCGGTGGTTGTGTGTTGTGAGGGCAGAGTGTTCTGAAGGTGCGCCTCGTTCCGTTGCTGAGGCACCTGCGCAACAACATCATCCATTTGCTTCTGCAATATATGGTGTAGATCCCGAAGTTCCTCCGAATTACACCTGTGCGTGCGAAATTCATGATATATCAGTGACCTGTCCGAAAACAACATGTATGTAGCACACATGTGTTCGCGTAAAACGACACGTCAAACACATGTCTGTGCGACTTTGGGGCTGCACACTGAGCCTGCATCGCGAACAAGCCATATCTGATTAAATTGAAACTACACAATCTTACATTTAAAAATTAAATTCGTAAAATCGTAAAATACACTCATCATTCCGGTAACGAGAACACAGATTAAAACAAAGCGGCACTATGCGCATGACCGCCGCATCAATCGACATTTGTAGCACGCGAAAATGCATACAGCACACCTTGTATCGTACTAATCACAATTGTATTCATAAGTGACACAGTTTTGCCGCTCACAGACGAAGCAAAATTAACGTCCAGCAGATAACACTTGATTATAGTAAGAATACCTATCCACAACCAAAGCCACACAATACTAGTTCACATCAGATCCTTAAGACTCTCGGGACATCCACTTCAATCAAACGAGCTAAAATGTCCACATGGTAATACACGAAGATAAATATTTACAGCAACATACTACCATCGTGACAAAAAAGAACTGTCGAAGCACAAAAATGTTTCCACTTCAAAACACAAATTGATACAGAGTTCAGAAATCCCTCTCAGTGATCATATCCACAAAAGAAACTTACGCGCTGATGGCGTTCATGATAGAATCCTGATTGAAGCTGTTGTTCGCCAGGAGCTGACTCACATCCCTGTAGCATACAAACACGCACGCCGTCGACAAAGTGGTGAATAGGCACGGACAAGTCAGAAGCGATTTATACGCCTTACAAAGAGGCTTTGTGGAGTTGAAATACTAGTGTAGAAGAATAATGTTGCCTAACACACACAGCAGAAAAACCTTTCTAAGGCGTGCAACGAGATAACACTGTCAACTTTACCGCCTAAATTGATATGCAACTACAAATCACAATATACATATAGATATATATGTATTCTCATGATGTATATGCATACTATACATAAATTAGCCTTACTATGTAGATATTTGATATTTGATATGCATCTATAGCTCACATTCATATATATATATATATACATCAGCATATTATCATTGTGTGTAGATTGGTCTTTCCGGATACCCCACACTATAATTGTATGCATACAACGCGAACATACATTTTGCCCTTCTTGGTCTGCATGATGGACCGGTACAATTCATCCTCAACGCTTTCGTCTTCGTGGTCTCGTTTTCGGGACGACGACTGACTTTGATTACTTACTGCCGACTGCACCTCATTCTGGTTCCAAAGGCGCCTGAAAACCAATAGTGAGACGCTTAGTACGACAGAAGGCGATATGATCAATCGCAGTATGAACAACTGCTCTGGCGAAAGCACAGAAAGAGTTCCGCACAGCCCACGCTGAAAGAACACCTCACAGGCAGACCACAGACACGAATCATCAACCACACAGCATGCAATACGTTGCAACCATACAAAATGAACACCAGACGAAAGCACAGGCAAAGGTACTGCGTAGAAAAAACCACAAGCATCACACAATGCACTATACGTGACTGACATACTTGTATGGGTCATCTGAAAACTCGTTGTTGAGTAGACCGAACTTGCTATCGCCCACATCATAGATAGACGCGTAGGGAAGAGTGCCGGGTGACGGCCGTGTGTTAAGTGTGTCGAAGTTAGGTGTGGCGCTCTTAGTCGAGGAGAGGTAGCCATAACCGCCCTGAGTGTTGAGCAGCTCACCGCCTGCCAGTTGTTCGCTACCGTCGCCGTTGACAAGACTGAAGGGCGAGCCGTTAGCACCCGCACCGCCGAGCTGCCCTTGACCCAGGCTGTTGTGCGTGCTCCCAGGGTTTGAGTTCGGATTACTGTGTTGCTGATTATGAAGATTGCTATTGTTTTGCTGCTGCAGAATATTCAGGGTTTGTTGTAGATTGTCGCGTTGCTGCTGGTCATTGGTGTTCTGCTGCAGTTGCTGCAGTGTCTGATGCGATGGGTGCAGCTGCTGGTTTAGCCCGTGTTGTTGTTGTAGTCCTATGAAGGTCATGCCACCTATCCCTGCCGCACTGCTGCCGCTGGTTGAGACTGGCGAGCGCGCATCCTTCACACCAGCATTATTAGCCGAGTAGACGCTTCTGTCCACAGAGTGTATCCTCCCACTGCTGATAGACGGCTGCTGCTGTGTCCCCATCAGAGGGTTTGATGTCCCCATTGGCGCATGCGCATTGCCCTGTTGCGAGAGGCTCTGCCGCGAGTCGTACAGCTGTGCGTTCATGGGATCGTTGACCGAGGCATAATTGAAGATGTTGACGTGCTGCTGCCCACTGTTGGCGCTCGAGGGGAGTGTTGAGCCCAACGACGTCTGCTGTGAATACCCCGGCGCTGTTTGGGATTGTGTGGGGTAGTTTGCGTATGCAATGGCCTGTGCTTGTGAGAGTGACTGTGTCTGTGCTTGCTGCTGTGTCTGCAGCATTGCTTGTGTGTGCATGTCCCCAAATGACTGTCCGCCACCTCCGCCCATATTCCGCCTCCAGAATGCCGCTTCCGACAGTTGAGAGTCTGGGGTTTCCGGGTGTGACAAGGGTCCCGGTGTGCCTAACAGATTAGGCGTGGGCGTGTGCTCTACGGGCAATGCCTTGTGCGGCGCCTGATTGATGACATTGCCCTTACTGTCCACATACCCACTGTCCCGTCGTTCTTCTGAACTGGTTTTGCGCATTATTCTGTACAGAGCAATTATGGTTGGTCCATTGGTTAGTCCTGCCGCAATGTTCAGACAAAACACATGACGGAGGCATACACACGCCGCGCTCACTTATTGCGGGGGAGCCATTTTCATGCTTATTACTGATACCCATATTTGGCCAATGTGCAATCATCACCTTCGCAATATAAGTAGCCAGCATGGGCGCACTAGACCAGTCAATGCAAAATAGAACATTTGACAAACGCGCACACTATTGATCATTGATTCACATTAGTATTCGTATTTTCTAACCCAGCTCTCGGATCAGCATGAATGTTCATTGCACACGCGCATAGCGGCCATACCCAAAATGAGACAGAAATAACGAGGCTACTCATGTCATGAAGCGACCAACTACTGAGACAGAACGAAAGTGGTTCAACACGCCATAAGCTAAGGTAGCGCACCCAATTGCCCATATTTTGAAAGCCTCAGCCCGGCTGCGTAAAATAAAACATATGCAAGCCACTCTGTAGGCGAGAATTGCAGCCGAGCAGGCAAGACACACACACTAAGGGATCCGTTACTAGCAGCAGATCAGCATACTCGCCAACTAAACAGCAACGTCTGCAGTGATAAATACACTGAAGAAGACATAATGATCGTAAACTTACTTGCAATCGTTGGGGTCTTTCTCAGTATCTGCGCCTCTGTAGCTGCGTTTTTTGGCGCGTATCAGAGCCAGCAACCGCTCACGGGTTGCCTGGTCAGTTATATTGAGCGTTTCCAACAAGAAGCGGTCGTCGATGACCATGAGTGTTTCTCCATTGATGTTCCGTGCTTTGAAGAGACCTTCTAGGCCGTGTAAATCTGAGCCCAAAAAAATACAATAAACAGATTTAGACGGTTGCAATACAGTAAATAGAACAAGACGAATACAATAAAGATGATAACTACCACCCCTGAAGTTGAGATACTCAACTGACAAATTAATCACCCTCGGTCATAAGAAAAGACGAGTGCTTCTACATCAACTTGTGCAGAGACAGCGAGATTGATACGCGTGGCCTGGACTCACCTGAATCGGCCAGCCATTTGCATACGCGTTCATTGTCCCATAGCGACAGACCATGCAGGCGCTGCTGACACCCCAGACTCTTGTTGATATGCTTGTTGAGATCAGGCTGTGACGGAACGGGCATGATGTTAGTGACTTATAAAACTATTGAGAATGATGTAGTCATCAACAGACAAAACAGATAACAGCGAGGCCGAAATGACGCAGAGATAAAGTTCACGCCCCCAGTGACGTAAAAAGCCACAGCAGAGAAAACACACCGAAACGCTACGAACAGGGACGATACACCGAACCGTCGAGACGAAGAACATACCCTTCTTTTAAACTGCTGATTGCAGTACTGGCAGGCGAAAGGGAAGTAATTCACCTGCAACATATAAAACGCGATCGTAAGCTAAAGTGAAAAATCCCCAGAGTTTTGAAAAGGAGTCCACAAACACCAGGGCAGCAAACTTCGAAGTAAAAAAATACACAGCAAGAATCACAGTTTGCAAAGACAAAAGCAATTGAAGCACACCAGTAGTTAATAACCTCTTTTCGCACGACATACGTGTGACATGATATGCGACTTCAGATGTTCCCTCTTGTTGAAGAGCTTGCCCTGTTTAGCGTTCGGACAACTAGTCCATTTGCAGACCCAGTCATCGGTCTTCCTACAAGTTTACAAAGCAATAGACGATAAACAATTAGCATAGACCTCAGAGCAATGAATGTCGAGTATAAAATCAGCATAAGCCATCAGCAAGATGTCCGCTCATGAAGCGTACAGGTCGCCGACAGACATGCAGAACAAAAATACCGCTATCTAGCTCTCCAACCATATATCGTTAGTAACAAAAAACCCAGCGTAGGTCAATTAACGCCTCCAGACACTGTAAAATATCCGTACACTCACGAAGACAACAAGGCCAACAAATCCAACAAGGCACACACGATACCGGCGTAACTGAAAGACTAACAGACTCAGCTGCACATATGCCTTCTTTCAGTAAAGAAATACGCACTATTAAAGAGAGAAAACAACTCGGACATATTGACAGATCCTACACGTCCTAAGCGCAGTCGTATTACTTACTTTATGCTGCCCAGGTGAAATTCGATGATGTGCTCATATAAATTTTTGAACGTGCTACTTGTGAAACTACATGTGTCCCACCGACAGGGATGTGTGGCCAGTCCTGTGGCCAATCCCTCCCCATCTGAGCCGTTTTCAGACATGATGGAAGAATTCAATAGGCGGTCAACTGTGGCAGTTTGCGACTGTTTGTCAACACATACGGCGCTAACTCGCACGGTCTACAAGTTCGTTGTATTAGTTGTTCGATAGACAAAATTTTACAGCGCTTCGTATAATACCGTATACAGTCTTCCACTTGCGCCGCGGAAAGACCACACTATGAATTCGTGAGCCGTTCCTAATATGATATTCGCATGTGTATGCAAGTGTGCATGTGTACGATGGAATCGTGGACCGCCAAACTATACCAATATGTGCTTCGGCCATCAAACCAAGTAGCGGTGAGGACCTTGCACTCTTACGTGCAGTATTTTATTCATTTTTAAAATCTGCACAGCTAGTGTAAAATAGGGCTGTGGTCTCACTGCTGGGCGCTGGCTTGGTTTTCATTTTCTTATTTTTTACTTCTATTTATCGTTGATGAATTCTATAATAAAAAAGTGTGATATTTTTATCATATATTTCGCATAAAATCCACGACTGTATACGTCTATACGACCAAGTACCAACTACAAAGCGAAAGCGTACTAACGTTATTAGGCTTCAGCCCAAAAGTAGTATATATGTGGGATTCACGTAAAATTTGGGATAAAAAAATCTGGCACCGGGGGCCACAGGGCCCGGTCACAGGAATGAGGATATATGAACATTAGCCTTCAAGAGTCTCTCAGGCACAGTAACAGAGCCACAGTACCCAGGGGCGCTAGACTCCAGCAAGTTAACAGGAAGCAGGAATATTGGGACCTATACTATTTTAGGGCTAGAAGTTTTAGAACAGGGTCAGGCAGGCAATACTCATACTCACCAGCGAGGGAGCCAGGCAGATGCAACTGACATCACACTTCACGGGTAAAAAAACACGTTCCGGCCCACCACCAGTGAAGGATAAGTCCTGGGATTCTGGTGGGATTCTGGTGGGATGGGAGGCCGGGAAGGGGGAGGGGGGAGGGGGGAGAAGGGGCGGGGAAGGGGGGAAGAGCGAAGGGGATATTTAGACCGATAGTGAGAATGACCCGTACCTGTTTAGAGTTTATTTATGGAGTGTGTTCCTACTTCCTCGCACGTCATATAGTCTTTTTAAATAGTCACACGAACATGATGGTCAATATACAAAAAAATACCGAGTGCGTTCACTGTTTTTTTTTGTTAAAAAAAAACAAAAGTGCAAAGTGTAAAGTCAAGGACTCGAGGCCTCAAGGCTCAAGCGGTCAAGAAGGGCCCCAAGGCCCAAGAGTCGATTGTGTATTTTTCTAATTTTCTCTCATATTATTTATTTTTTAAACCATATGTATATAAACAAACAGTTGGCAGTAAATATTCACCAAGAAGAAGAACAGTTGGCCCGTAAAAGCGTAAAAGGGAATAAATTATTTATTTTTTGCTGAAATGTTGAATTGAAAGCTAATTATTTATGTAAATTAAAATATGTTTATTGTGTACGCACAACAATGAATTTTTTATGATTTTGTCTTCTAAATACAGAAGTTCTACTTCTATATGTTTATAATTTTTCAAAGAATGAAACCAAAAATAAAACATAAATATTATTGTTTCTGTAAAAAATAGAAAAATTATCAATGTTTTCATTTTGTTTTTGTTTATTTTTTGGGTTTTGTTTGTTTTTAAAAAGCATAAAAAACAATTTTTAACAGCAATTAACATTTTTCCAACAGATTCGACTTTCATATCACAAGGGAGAGAGAGAGAGACTCTTGTGTAATGTATATGGGACAACTGGGAGTAAACTTTTGTTGATAATAACAGATAACCTATTTTTTTAAGTACATGTGTAAATGAATGTCTTTATACAGCACTAGTGACAATAAAACTATTAACCACCTCAGGCCCAGTTTTCTACCAGTCTCGATACAAATTTTATTTTATTTTTTGAGATTTTTGAGATTTTCGAGTCTAATTTGCTTAAATATAGGTGTAATAATGTAATTGGCGTGATTTTAACTCTTAAGCACTTGTGAGATGTGTTTGTTTTCTGCCGGTTTGTTTGTTATCTGTCGGCTGAAAGCGCTCGACTTAAATGTTAGATATTGTAGCGCGGATACAACCCATTTGTTGCACTTATGTTAGGTCCTTGTCGGTCTTAAGGGCTTGACATATGTTAGCAGTTAGACACTGGAATATAGGTGTCCTCTATCTTAGCTATTGCTTCGGATTCGCCCATGGTTTTACAGTTGACACTATTCGTGTCTAACATACGTCGACCTCTCCTCTGAGGCCGACAAGGAACTAATACAAGTGCAATAAATGGGCTAAAATCACGCTAATTCCATCTAAAAGCAAAGTAAACTCGAAAAAGTATAAGTATGAGACTGGAAACTGGGCCTGAGGTGATTAATAATTTTATTGTCACCAGTGCCGTATAAAGACATTCGTATGTGCTATGACTAATGAGTAATCATTTCCATTTCAAATAGCGAATAACTGGACTCCTGGAGCATGTCGGTACACCGCGATAAGATTGACCAATTGAAGTTGTTGACTACTTGTTTTTTTTAAATACCCGTTCCTTGGCCCCAGTTGGCCTGTGGCCAGTTCGTGGCTTCGTGCCTCACTGACTCCTCTGAGTCAGAGTGACAGTGCTGACTGCTGAGTGTTTAAATAGTGTAGAATTTTGACTGTTGCCTGTTGCCTTTGGCTCTGAGGACTGAGAGCTACCGTCAATACTAAAACAAGCTGAACGTTAACCGTTATTTTTTTCAATTTATATACGGTTTAACTTTTATATTCGAGGATTTTGCACTTCAGAAATCGTGGATTTTGCCCTTCAGAACAGTACCTATACTTCGCGAAATGGACTATATAACTAAAATTAATGAAAGAAAAACCATAGCCCTCTAAATTTAGATTATTTTTTATTTTTTCTGGCAAAATTGGGCAACAAAATGTATAATAGTCAATCAGAAATGGTATAGCGCTTAATCAAACACCTGGCAGTTGTCAATTGGCCAAATCAAATTAATAAGTAGAACAAAACACATATATTCAGTGACCTGAAAATGCACCCACTGAATTTGAGTAGGGCTTAATTTTTAAAATCATTATGTTAGGTGTGGGACTGTGGGATAGTTGTTGGAGACTCCCATGAACTCTTGAAGCGGACAGTTGTTGGAGACTCCCTTGAACTCTTGAAGCGGACAGTTGTTGGAGACTCTCTTGTGAAGACTTAAGTATTTTATTTTTAATAAAATAAAAAAACGATTCTATTCACTGGAAGCTATTTTATCAGATAAATAGCAATTTGTTTTGTAAATATTGTACAATAAACATTTTTTTTTCAAAACGTTCTTTTATTGTATGGTACACGTTTTTGTATATTTCTAGAAATGAGAAGCATGAAGATCTAATAAATATTGTTGAAAGCAAATAAAAAAGTACAGAACATACCTTCCCTTTCCAATTTTAAAAAACCTAAATTCAGAGTACAAGCACTGGGCCATAGGTCCGTGACGCATGAGTGGTGAGCCCGTGAGGCGAGACTGCGAGAGCCTGAAAGGCTTCACTCTCTGAGAACTCTAAATCCCTCAGAGTCTAGACTCTGGACTCTGGAGTCTGGACTCGTCTGGAGTCTGGAGTCTGGAGTCTGGACTCGTCTGGAGTCTGGACTCGTCTGGAGTCTGGAGTCTGGAGTCTGGAGTCTGGAGTCTGGAGTCTGGAATCTGGAGTCTGGAGTCTGGACTCTGGACTCTGGTCTGAACTATGTATATATATATATATGAAGTCTGATACATAATGCCATTATGAGTGATGTCTGGTAAAACTTTTAAGTAACTGGTAACAGGTAGGCTGTGAAATGGATTTTTAGGGTTTTAGAACTAAGACTTTAGGGTTTGGGATACATATCTTGTGCATTGCCTCCTGCTTTTATTTTTATTTTTTAATCACATTGTGAACTTGAAGCGTCACAGTGTGATTATTTATGTGAACAGTGAACCCTGAACAGTGAACGTAGAAAGAAAAAAGGTTTTTTGAAGTTTCTACAAGGTAAATATGCAAAAGTAACTCTCGGTCCTCAAGAGTCGAGTGACTTCGGGGCTCGGGCTCGAGTTCTCCTCATCGGACCTATTGATTGTCTATTGCAATTTGTATTTAGCTCTGGTAAATATAGCGGTTGTACAATGTACATATTAAAAATACTGTATTTAGGATTTCATTTTTTTCGATTTTCAAAAGGACTATATTTAAAGTACTCATAAACAAATCTAAAATATGTACTGTATTATTACAAAGCCTCGTACATAGCCTTCTGAAAATTACACACAGAAAGCTAAACCTCCTAAAACTATAACTTTGTTTTTTGTTTAAAATAAAAAGATGTATAGCCAAACCGTTGTTCGTTGTTCACAATGTTTTTTATCCTCGTTTGGGGGTTTTTTTTAAACAAGAAAACCCCCAGTGTAATCTTAGATCGGCTCAAAACACAATGTAACGGTGAACTTAGTTTTATATCCTCGATTGTTGAATAAACGTCTACCTTAGCAGAATGAACTTCTTGAATGAACTAAACCACGTATTTATACTATTTCCGAAGGATTTCATTGAGAATCCTGCCGCCAATCATATTGTGTATCTCCTTAATTTCGAGCCAACAAGTACATTCAACATATACCGTCATCTGCCAAGCTCCAGCTCATATTACCCCGAACTTTGGTTCACAAAGCACCAATCATACGCCAACATCCTCTTCTTTCGAACCTGCGCGGCCGTTCGCCAACAAACCGCACTATACAACTTAGAAATTTTCGAACATATTAGCTTTCACACTTATAAGTTATCGCCCACACTTAGAAGTTCTAGCACTCTTATTTACGCCCAGGAACACTAACCAACAGTTCGGTACTTACAACACCAACATTGTCGAACTTTCCGACTTTCCCTGTTTCCCATCTCCATCATGCCCCGTGGGCCGTGGGCCCGCGGGCCCGTGGCAGACTAGTACTTTGACACTCCCCCTGAGTCCCCCAGT